CTGGATATTAACCTTCATCAGGTGATGAAAGGAGACAGAGACAGAGACCCACATTGGAGCACCGGACTGAAATCTCAAGGTCCAAATCAGGAACAGAAGGAGAGAGAGCACAAGCAAGGAATTCAGGACCGCAAGGGGTGCACCCACACACTGAGACAATGGGGATGTTCTATCGGGAACTCACCAAGGCCAGCTGGCCTGGGTCTGAAAAAGCATGGGATAAAACCGGACTCGCCGAACATAGCGGACAATGAGGACTGCTGAGAAGTCAAGAACAATGGCACTGGGTTTTGATCCTACTGCACATACTGGCTTTGGGGGAGCCTAGGCTGTTTGGAGGTTCACCTTACTATGTTGGACTAGAAGTCCAAACATCAGGGAAGAGTTGCTCCAGACACCACTCACATAACCACAAATCAAGAGGATTTTTATTCTGTCATAACAGGGTCCTTCAGGTTCGGGATATGAAGGACAACGATAGCTGTTACAGCCCATCTTTTAAAGCGAAAAGCCACAGACACAAGGGGGGACACCTGTAGGTTGTTTTCCAACTTATTGGATTGGCTTATTCAAAGGGTTACTAGCAATGATTGGTCTATTCCAGGGCAGGAGAATAGCTGGGTGGTCAGGTGATAAGGGAGAGCATCTGTGGTCCATCCTGACCTTTGGTTCAGTGACTAAATTAATACATCAGGAACTGAGTCAACATCTGTGGGTTGTATTTGCCTCAATTCCCAAAATGGAGTTACGTTTGAAGATTATTCTCAAGGACACAGGGGGATGAGCAGTCCAGTATATGTGTGTGTGTGGGGGGCGACTGTCCCTTTTTCAAGATAGAGTAAGTGTAAGGTTTTAGAAAAATGTCTTAGGGTTGAGGGAGCTTACAAATGCATTTAGAGTCTTTCAACTAGACCTGGAAGGAGGTGGGAGGTCCTTGGACTTCCCACAGGGCAGGGAACCCGGTCTGCTCTTCAAGCTAATGAGAGAGGGGGAGTTGATTGGGGGAGGGGGAGGGATATGGGAGGCGGTGGCGGGAAAGAGACAGAAATCTTTAATAAATAAATAAATAAAAATTAAAAAAAAAAAACGATCCCAGGGGCTTGCAGCCTAGCCAAAATGGTGTGCTCCAGAGTCACTGAGAGGTCCTGTCAAAACAACAAACAGAAGTGGAGGCTGGAAAGAGCTCTTCCAGAGGACCTGGGTTCAATTCCCAGCACCCACATGTTGGCTTCCAATCATCTGTAACTCCAGTACAGACAAAACGCCCATGTGAATGAATGAATGAATGAATGATTAAAAATGAGGTGCATAGATGCACTCACACACACAACTTAAAATAATACAAACAGCCTGGGGGTGGTAGTACACATTTTAATCCCATCACTTGGGAGGCAGAGGCAGGCAGATCTCTGTGAGTTTGAGGCCAGCCTAGTCTACATAGAGTTCTAGGACAGCTAGGGCTACAGAGAAAGACCCTGTGTTGAAAGAAAGGAAAAAGGTGGGGGGAGAGGGAGGAAGGAAGGAAATAATAATATTACAAAAGTAAATAATTAAGATACAGGGCAAAAAAGGAAGGCACCTGACCCTGACATCTACACACTGACATGCATGCATGCTCAAGCACATGTGTGAGCATGCATGTTTACACAAACATACACGTGTGTGTATGCATCCATGTACAAAACACATACACAAAACATGCATTCGCATAAAATAAGCAATTTAAGCAAAAATAATGAACTGCAGTGTTCACAACACACATAGAAGTAAAACATGACAAAAAAAAAATACAGAGTAGAAAATAAGAAAGACCAAGTGTGAAAAGAAGTTATTTAAGAGAGACTATGGTAAATCCAGGCACATATTGTTTTACAAAGCAAACATTTTAAAAGTATGTATTTAATAAGGGTCTATTACCCAAAATTTATAAAGAACTTTTCAGGAGACAGATAACTCAGTCAGTACAGTGCTTGTGCAAGCATGAGGGTCTGAACTTGATCCTCAACATCCTGTAAAAAGCAAAACATGGTAGTGTGTGCTTACAGTACCGGAGCTAAAGACAGCAAGAGCCTGGGGCTCACTGGTCAGCCAGTCTATAGTGTGCTCCTGGCTAACCAATGAGAGGTTTTGTCTCAAAGAATTAGGTGAATGGCTCTTGAGAAATAAAACCTGAGGTTGACCTCTAGACTCTACACACATGTACGTACATATGCATGTGACAAATACACAAATAAGTTTTGCGCTGGAGATGTAGCAAAATAAAAAGCTTGTCTTGTATGCATAAGTTCTTAGTAGAAGAATGAAAAGAAGATTAGGAGGAAGAAAAACAACAGAGTACTTAGGACATGCATTCTGGAGGCTGAGATAGGAGGACTGTCTGAGCCCAGAAACTTGATAGCTTATATAACAACAACAACAAAAGCCAAGTAACCCAATTTTAAAATAGGCAAAAAAAAGTCCAAAAAAATCCCTAAAAAAGAACAACAAAAATAAATAAATAAATAAATAAGCCAAAAAACAAATGGCCAAAACCCCAAAAGCCCTGTGAAATTTCTATATAGCAATTCTCAACCTGTGGGTCATGACCCCATTGGGGGTCAAAACGACTCCTTCCTGCATATCAGATATTTACATTATGATTCAAAAACAGTAGCAAAATTACAGTTATGAAGTAGCAACAAAAATAATGTTATGGCTGGGGGTCAGCACAGCATGAGGAACTGTACTAAAGGGTCACAGCATTAGGAAGGGTGAGAACCACTGCTCTAGAAGAATATGCAAATGATAACAAGCAGGTGAAGATTGTTCAACGTTACGGAAATGAAAATCAGAACATACACTTCACATCCAAGTAGGATGGCAATTCAAAAAATACTGGGGTCAACCAGATACTTCAGGACAGGGCATGCCAAGACACCCAGCTGTGCTGGGGCCTTGATGTCAAAGTACAAAACAATCCCGGGAGAGGAACTAATGCGAGGAAGGATGGAGAATAAAACAGGAACCTACAACATGCTGCTGGTGGAGACAGAAAATAGTTCAGAAATTGTGGGAAAAGTTTGACAAATCTCAAAAAGGTAAACAGATGACCATCCTAGCAACTCTGCTTACCCATATATATATAAAAGAATTGGAAATAAGCATTCCATCAAATACATGTACACATATGTTCAAAGCAGTATAATTCAAAATAGTCAAAAATGTGCAAAAGACCTAAATACTTAACAACAATTGAGTGAAAAAATTGTACTATATGTTAAACAGGACATTATTTAGTCACAAAAACAATCTGAAACATGCTGTAACATGGATGAAACTAAAAAATACTGTGCTAAGTAAAAAAAAAAAAAGAAACAAAATATAAAATATCCAGAACAGGAAACACATACAGACAGAATATATATTGGCAATTGCTGGAGGAGAAAATAGACTGTATAACAGATATAAGTTTTACATGGCACTGATGTGGGATTCCCCTTTGTATGCTGTGAATATCATTGGTTAATAAAGAAACTACTTTGAGCCTATAGCAGAGCAGGGCAGAACAGAGGTAGGCAGGGAAAACTGAATGCTGGGAGAAAGAAGATGGGGTCAGGGAAAAAAACCATGTAGCCCTGCTGGAGACAGACACCAAAACTTTACCAGGTAAGCCACAGCCTTGTGGAGATACACAGATTAATGGAGATGGGTTAATTTAAGATATGAGTTAGCCAGAAATACACTTAAGATACTGGCCAAACAATATTGCAAATAATATGGTTTCTGTGTGATTATTTTGGGGCTCAGCAGCCAGGAACTAACTAATTGCCTCCAACAACAAAGCATAATAGAAATATTCTGGAATTAAAGATTGTGGATGTGTAATCTTAACTACATAATTAACATTTTATGCATTTTAAATGCATATTACAGAACATGAAAGTGGACACTTATGGCTCACACATTCAGGAAGCTGAGGCAGAAGGATAGAAAGCTAGCCTGGGCTGTATAGCAAGAGCTTGTCTAAAAGAAGTATATTTTAATCTCTAAAGGAAGCATTAAAAAAATTCCTGCTATGCCAACAGAAGAAATAGCAAAATTTAATTAATCCAAGTTTAAAAACAGATGAGACAAATAGCAAAGTCGATTGTTTAAACTTAATCATATATATATCTGTATGTGTGAGCATGTGTGCATGTGTGTGTGTGCATACACACTATAAACACTAGTCACCTGTGGCTACTGTGCATATAAATGATGGTATATTCTGAACATAGCTGTTTAAATACCCACTGAATTTTTTAAAAATGTAAAACAAGCCATCAATAACTTTACACTGAATGCATGCTGAAATGATAAAGAATACTGGGTCAAAATACATTATAAAAATGTGAACTGCTTTTTTCACATCTTTGAAACTGCTTCAAAATTTAAAGCATTTCAATCTCCCTAATAATTGAACTTCCAACTGATAAGCAAAATAGGGGCTATAGCTCAGTGCTTTATCTTATCTACCATGTGTGAGGCCCAGAAATCAGTATCATGCACAAAAGAAAGGGAAGGAGGGAGAACATACAGTTCTATAATCACAGTTTGAGACTTTAACACATATCCTTCAGGTACTTGAGAAAAATCAGCACAAGGAAATGGGGAATGCAGTAAATGAAGCTGGCCTGATGACTTAACCTCAGGCACCACACCCATCAGTACAGTGTACAAACTCTTTTTAAGTACTCTTGTTATCAGGACAGAGTGTATGGTGGCGCATGATCGTAGTTTAAGAGACTGAAGCTGCAGAATGTACTGCTGACCAGCATAATTATCAGGAGAAGGTGACTAAAGAGGGTCCTAGTTCCATGCATGACACAGTAAGCACACGCCTCCGGTATCTACCATTGAATTCAGATAACAAAAATGACCAGAACACATGGAACAGCTATTAGAGGCCTCTGAAAAGTAAATAGTAGCAAGTGGGTGGGGAAGAGGACCTTAACATAGTACCGAACCAACAATGAATTTACCTTTTTATTATTCCTCCAATATCCACCAGCCGGAACTGCAGCCTGAAACCCAAAAGTGAGCATCAGTGTAGGTACAGAGCTCCAGAAAAAGCCTAATTCTAGTTCAAGTTCTGTAGTGTATCCTGAGAGAATTAAAAATCTCACATTTCTCTTTAAATTCTCTGCATATCTCTAAGCAATCCCATGATAAAAGTCAAAGAAACAGTGACCCACAGGAACACAGAACTCTGAAAGAGGCCCACTCCTTTGACCAGAAGGGAGAGGCAAAGCTTCACTGCTTCCCACCACCCCAAACCCTGCCCCTTATCCTTTTCATCATTTACTCCCACATGAATTATTAACATTTTTCAGACTTAAATAAAGCCCTGCCTTTCTAGATACAGGACTGAAATAAGTAACCCTATGAAACTAGACAGTGCCGATACTCAGACTGGGGAGAAGACTCCAGGAAAGCAATCCCGTGAAGGGCTACTGAACTTCAGTGTTTACCCCACGCTGCATGTGGGTGAATATAACAAACAAGCAAGCTAGACTCTCAGAACTGAACTGTAACACAGTCCACCAACCAGATCCCAGGGCAGCCACGAGTATTAGCAGCAGACACAGACCTCAGTGCTGACTGCAGAGGCTTGCTTAAAGCTGGGATAAGATGGTGGACCCACAAACTTACAGTTCTCTTCTTACAGCCTCCCCTAAGCTCTGAGATTACAGGTGTGCACCTGTAGGTGATACACTATGGGCATCAGAAAATAGAACCATTTTTATGAAATTAGAATAAAATGCAGATCCTTTTAAGTGGTGGTAGCAGTGCACACTTTTAATCCCAGCACTTGGGGCAGAGGCAGGTGAATCTCGAGTTCAAGACCTACAAATCAAATTCCAGGACAGCCAGGGCGATACAGAGTAAACCTGTCTCAAAAACATATATATGACAACCCAGATATGCATACCAAAAAGGCAAAAATTTCAACTTCTGTCAGCCAAAACCGAAATGACAGAAATGCTGGAACTGTGAAAACTTTAATATAGCTAGAATGAAAATGCTCCGATAACTAAGGCTAAACACTCTTGAAATAAAAAGTACTAGCAAAGAAGCAAATGGAAGTGTTAGAATTGAAAATAAGTAGAGCTTTAAAATTCAGTGAATGAACTCAATAGCAGCAGAATAAAGATTACAAACCAATATCTCATATAAACATACAAGCAGCATTCTCAACAACAAAATACTGACAAAATCCAGCAACATACAGGCAGAACTATAAACCATGCCCAAGTGAGATCTAGCCTACATATAGAAAAAAAATCATTGTTTTGGGACCTAAAGATAATTGATACCTGAGTCTACTCCTCACGGGGTCTAACTGTACATCTTCCCTTTAGTTCCATGAACAATCTCCGTATCTTTTAAGAGTTGCCCATCCTTAAAGGGGGAATTAGGCAACCTGACATTTGAAATCAGAAGCAATTGATAATGACACATAATTCCAAAGAGTTTATAATCTAGTAAAAAACATGAAATTTAAAAGTTTAATTTAACATTTTAAAAATATTCTTTTTAAGTGTTTTTTAATGATTTATTTATTCTTCTGAGTATGGGTATTTTGCCTGCATGTATGTCTGTGCACCAGATGAGTGCTTGGTGTGCAAGTAGGGCAGGAGAGGGCACTGGATCCCTTGGAACTAGAGTTGCAGATGGTTGTGAGTAACAGTGTAGGTGCTGGGAACTAAGCCAAGGTCCTTTGCAAGAGCAGCCAGGAAGTGCTATTGACCTCTGAGCTATCACCCCAGCCTCAACATCATTTTGTTTGTTTGTTCTTTGAAACACAGTTTCTCTACGTTGCTGTTCTGGCTGTCCTGTAACTTGCTATCTCAACTAAGCTGGCCTTGAACTAAGAGACCACCCGTACCTGCTTCCAGAATGCTAGTATTTAGGGTGTGTACCCCCACACCTGGCCAGCCCCATTTTAACATTTATAAACACTTACAAATCACTGGACAACACGATGTGGGTGGCACACACCTGACTACAGTACTCTGGGAAGGGGAAGGATTACTGCAGATTCAAGGCCAGTATAGGATACAGAAGAAAAGATGAGAAGACAGACAGTGGTGCACAAATTAAGATTAAAATATTGGAGGGCGATGGTGGCACACACCTTTAATTCCAGCACTTAGGTGGCAGAGGCAGGCGGATCTCTGTGAGTTCAAGGCCAGCCTGGTCTACAAGAGCTAGTTCCAGGACAGGCTCCAAAACCACAGAGAAACCCTGTCTCGAAAAAACAAAAACAAAAACTAAAACAATTCACCTGCGCTTATTATAACCTTGGCAAGCCTTGCTCACTACTCTAGTACACATGGGTTATTGTACAACTGACAGGAAACTTTTTTTTTTTTTGATACGTTCTCATGTACCCAAGGCTGGCCGGGAACTCACTATATAGCCAATGAAGACCTTGAACTTCGATCCTGCGCACACCTCCCCAGTTTAGGAAAATCTTACAGCAAACTTAGCCAAGTGCCAGATTTAACTTATGTTAATACAAATGAAAACTAAAACACAAGTATTTGGCAATTAGGAAAATTAGAATGTTGATAACATTCTAATTGTTTCTTATTTCATTCTTATGTCTTGCCAGTGGCTTTTAAGATCTTTTGTTTTCTGTACTAAAGCAGAACAGTGAAAATGTTTTTATAGAAAGCTGAAAAAAAAAAGCTATGTATTAATTTGCTTTGGGTTGTTCTAGTCTCTCTGGTAAAGTCATAATTAGGAAGGCTTTTTTAGGGTTGATTCTAGTCTCACAGGTACAAAGCTCCTCCATATCTGGAAAATCTAAATTCCTATGTGAAGAGGCTGTGTTTTTAAAACATATTATTTACACAATTCACTGGAATGGTTCCTCTGGAAGCTGGGTGGCTCTCTTATGCAATTATGTACTTAGGAACCCTCCCCTACACAGCCGTGGAAATTCAAGTAAGAATAATTTACTGGGTATGCACAGTTATTAGAATTTTAAAGCATTTTTTTGTTCAAAATTCTAGTTTATCAGACAGTTATATTTGACTAAATGTGTCCTTAATCAATAATAATGAGCAATGTTTTAGGAGGTAGCCAGGCTTGAACTGTGATGTTAAAGGAATCTTGGGGGCTGCTGCCCTCCCTCCTGTTAAAGGCTCTCCCTCCCTTTCTACCCGCCAAGCTTTGCGGTGAAATTAACAACTAAGATTCTAAACATCTGTATTAGAATACTGACTTCAATTACAGATGCAGAACTTTATCTGTAAGGAACTGTTAGGAACATTTTAACAGTGAGGAAGCTGGGAGCACACAAATTAAGACTTGAATTTGAAAGAATAAAATAACTGTACACACACACACAAACGCACATATATGTCAAGTAAAGGGCAAGGAAGGTACTTTTGTAGTGGTATCGATGACTGCAGACTCAGAGTTGAGAAAGAGGGTCATAGAAGGCTTCTATGACAACCCCAACCCAAAAAAGTAACAGCCTAGACAGAAAGCCATTAAAGACAACTCTTACAAACTGCCATAATAATGCTGACGTGTAGCTCTCCAAAGTGGAGGGCTTCGGGCGGAGGTGCGGGTGGGGAAAGACTCAGTTTTCCTTAGTGGGCTGGCTACTGGGAGTCTGACCATGCTCCAGTATTTGGGCAACACAGATTGGACTTCCCCCCTCCCTGCTCCTTTTCCTCTTCTCTTTCTTTTGGTGGGAGTAGTTCACAAGGGTGTGGGGCAGACCTGGGAGGAATGGGAAGTCAGTGTGATTTGGGTACAATCCTATTACAATAAGCTCCAAAGAACTGTCCAGATTCCTTTATTACCTTAGAATTTACTGCATTAAATACTATTTTTAATAACTGGGCTACCAGTTGAAGCTTTTAGTAATGTAGAATTGGCCTATCTGCATGCTTCCAATGGCCACCTTCCCATGGTGGGCTTACATCCTGAATGCAGAGTTGTTGCCATTACCCCACAAAGGGGCACCATGTTAATAAAGCACGTACTGAGGCCAGGCTATCTACCATATCAGACTCTATCTACCCCACCAGGGAAGGGCAGCGAAAAGAACCACAGTAAGATCCCTCGAGTGATGCTTAGGAGCAACTCCTCCACAGATGAGCTGGGGAAGCTCAAACAGCGCGGTCTGTGGGTTTCCTCTAAGGAGGACGGCTGCTCATGAAAGGATCACCTGGTACCAAACAGGATTTCAACGACTGTAAACCAAGTCTCCCACCTCTCTCGGGTACTCCTTAACTTTTGTGGAAGAGATAAAGAAAATTACCTCCTCATTAGAAAGAAAATAAATGGCTACATAAATAAAGACAACCATACTGCACCTGACTTCCTGGGTACCACAGAGAAAAGTAACTCATTCTCAGCAGCCTTTATTCCACTATTTGCAAACAACGGACTGACTGGCAGCTACAATATAAAAAATAAATAAGCACTTCAAAGACCAAGTGTCATGTTCCCCGGTAAGTAACAAATATGAGCATTACCTACCCTCCCCACCCAGGGTGTAGAATTTAGCAGGAGAATAGATTTATTGGTTATCTGATTGCTTGATATGTTGTGAGAATGTTTTCTGTGATGCTGTGGTTATTACTGAGGTTAGATAAGAAAATCTCCCCTCTCTCAGGACGCTAGTATTCAAAGTTACATATTCATAAGAAGGAGACAAAATGAGTATTTCTGAAGCAAGTGAGATGTGACAACAAAGAGAACTGGAGAGTGACGAGTACACCTAGAATTTTCCTTCAAGGAAAACAAAGAACATGATCTTCCAACTCAGCTTATCATAAGCCAAGATGCAAACCAGTACATCTCAAATGCACACCCTGGTATCACCCACTTTCAGAAAACCAACTTAACCTGCATCTGATGCTAATATGAAATCTTTTTTACACCCGCCCCCTACCCCCGAGACAGGGTTTCTCTGTGTAACAATCCTGGCTGTCCTGAAACCTGCTTTGTAGATCAGGCTAGCCTCGAACTCACTGAGATCTGCCTGCCTCTGCCTCCC